AAGTAAATAACCCAAATAAATAAAACAAATTCAAATAAAATAAACATCGCGCCAAGTTTTGCAGCCACAGAATATCTAAGCACTTGATGGTGGACATGTAGGTAAAAGGGAAAAAGTGAAAAAGAACAATAAAAGCAAGTGGCATACAGATAAGTTAATGGTATAACCACTGGCACGCGCTGTGGACATTCCAAGTTCGAATCCAATGCGAGCTAAGATGTCTAGAAAAAGAAGTCTGCTGAAAAAACGTTGTGATTTCCGAAATAGCAGCTATAACTTCTAGCGTCCAAAACTGTTGTTGTAATGTTGTCATGTTTTCACTATTACCAAAAAAATATAGGGTTTGCGACATCTCCATAAAACTAAAAACCCCAAAAAAATATACAATTCAAGAGCATTTTTACAAGAAAAAGCTTTATAAAATAATATAAGTTAAATTAAAATAAAATAAAAAATTAAATTAAATTGAGTTTATTAAAAAAAACAATAAATTAATAACAAATTAGAATAAAAAAATTAAATGAAGTAAAGTAAAGAAAAAAAAAAACAAATAAATAAAATAAAACAAAAAACTAAAATTGAAAAATAAAGTTAATTTAAATAAGAAAAAAATGCAAGCCTAATATTCATATTGCTTACATTATCTTACCGAAAATAATGCTTAGACATAACATACAATAGTTGATAACTTATATGGTACATTATACGCTCTTCTTTAGTGTAAAGAAGTTATCAATTCTTCTTTGTATACCCAAACACTTGAAATCCACTCGTGTGTTGGGTCTGCATTCATTTACTAGGCGTTCATTCTGCTGCTATTAAGCTTCCTGCAGCACAAACCACATTCCCTCAGGCAGTTTGCAATATATAATATATCAAAAATTTGACTCATAACTTCAGAAATTCATTCAAGCTGTCATTGAAAATCTGAAGTATGCTCTTCAGTGTTGATTCTTACCTTTGATTTTTGCCACTCGCATTTAGTTTGGAATCTTTGTTTGGTACTTATACTTTGAGTTTTATTTACACGCCTGCAGCATTGGACTTCTGTTCTTATTTATACAGTTGTTGGTGTACTTCAAAAATTCTGCTTGCTTTACAAAAGTTTTTAATTCAATTAAAAAAGAAGAAGTTATAAAAACAAAGAACGCAATAATTCTGATGATCTTGAGAATGAGAGCTTCGAGTTAATTTAGGAAATGTAATACAAAAAACTTAAAGGAAGTCAAAGTGATAGACAGTTAGAGAGAGAGAGAGAGATAATCTCTAAAGAAAATTTAAGTCGAAAAATAAACGAAAGAATTCAAGTGGAAAAAAACCTTGCAAAGACTTTTGCTTTTGAACTTCCGAATGATCTAAAAGTGAGCGAAAGTTGACCAGCCTCAATATTGGTTACAGATCGAAAAGCAATTTTGCGGGAGTTATTACTGATTTCATAAACCTAATTGTATGGAAAATTAAGGCTCTGCGAGACAATTTCAACTCGAGAGAACTACAGTTTATAGGACGACAGTATCAAATCTTTGCTAGGAATAAATTAATAAAAGGTTATACACTGATTTTTTCTTTGAAATTGGGGGATCTTCAGATGAAAGTTATCTAAAAGCAATGAATTTACGATAAGATCACCAAAGGTACCAGTCTGGCTACTGAACCAGTATGTGAAATGCCAAAGATGCTGAAAACTCCGTACAATGAACTTTTCGAGAGAGCTAATAGAGTGAGGTGCAATGCTTAACGGCAAGCATCATCGCCAAGGTCAAGTGAAATGGCAATGACATATTCATAAACCGTGGGGAGGTAGGCAATGCTAAGAGACTACTAAAGATCTCCTCTATTTTCAACCTGTCTAAGAAAACTAGGAGCATCGGTCTTAAAAAAACTGGCGGAAGATTAAAAACTAAATACCAATGCCCTCTTAAGCTTCGCAGAAAGTGTGGATGTCCTACACGACAATTGCTTTAACTTTAGTTAAAATAAATCATAATCTGGCAATACAAAGGAGCCGCAGGTCGGTGTAAGACGTAACAGCCAACAAAGTATTTTAACTGTAAACCACAGAGTGACTTAGAGTGGATATTGTGGTTCAGCCTTAGTAATTTCACAGTGGCTACCTAAAGAACTTCGAGCTGGAACTTGCAAATAATCAAAACTTTACTTAGAGCTATTTAAGTACTCCAGAGAGGAGAGGAAACTGAAGCTTGAGAAACTCATGCAGTTCTCCACTCTGCCACCACAGTCACCAGATTCTGCTTTCTGCTCATTTTAAATAGCCCAAAAATTTTATGCTTTTCGACTACTAAAAATTTTGTTTAACAAAAAATTTATTTAAATAGTTTTCAATAAAATTACTAAATTTTTTACAATTGGTAATATTTTTTCTTTAATGCAAAAAATACGACGAAACATCTGTTTTTATTAAAAAGAAACTACTAAAAATTACAAATTAAATATTTTTTTTGAATAAAATCAAAATTATTAATATTATGCTGAAAAGACTTACTAACGTAAGCAAATTTTTATAAACAATAATATAATAATCAAAGTTATGTAATATTTTGAAAAAAAAAAAAAAAATTTAATAAAACTAATTTTTTGGCTGAAAATACTCACTAATGTTGGCAAATTTTTATAAATAATATTATTTTTTTTTAATAAAAATATTTTTTAAATGCAACTAATTTCAATAATTATTCTAAAAATTGCTAAAGTTTTATAAATAAAATATTTTTCAAAATTACCAAAATTATTAATATACAATATACATATTTCTCATCAACAAAATTTAAAAAAGTCAAAAAATTTTTGCTAACAAATTGCACTGAAATTAGCTAATTCTTATGAACAATATTATTTCTTCTTTAACGAAATTAAAATTATTAATATTAAAAAAATAAATATTACACTTAAGATTTACACTAAAAATATTTTTTAATTCTAAATTTATTTAAATAATATTTAATACTAAATACAATTTTTAATTAAATTTCCCAAATCATATTTAATAAGTATGCGAATTTTCAACATTAATATTTTTTTAATCCAATTCCTCTTTTATATAGGAGTTTTTTTAAAATCTTTCAAATATATATTTTTTATGAATAACTCTTATATTTTTGAAAAAAAAAAATAATAATAAAAAAAAGGGCAAAATTTTTACCAAGAATTTTCTTTTAACATAATATAAGAAAATATTTCGGATATTAATTTCAATTGGTTATTAGTCATTTTTAAAGCTTTCTTCCTCTTTTTTATAAATAATTTTGCTAAAAAAGCAAAGCTCAGTTTCAGCGAGCAAAAAATTAGCTATTTAAAAGTGGATTAGGAGCGAATTGCTGAGAGGCATACCACAAATATTCGTACTTATTATATTAACGTGTGATACAGATTATTTAAATATTTATATATATATATGTGTGTGTGTATAAAATGTTTGAAAATTGTTCAAAACTCCTACAACATTTGAACACAACCAAATCGGGTTTAAGGCGCGTCGGTTGTTTATTATGCAACTCGCGTCTTTGCTTTGCTGTTGGCTCTTGACACAAACGACAAATATTCAACGACAACAAAAAAAAAAAAAACAACAAAAGCAGTTAAGCAAAAATTGATAAAGTGAGAAGTGAAGGTACAGAAATGGATAATACTCAATCAAAGCTCATACATACATATATATAAATATATGTATGTATGTACTTTATTGTATTTATTTAAACTTTTGCTCAGGAATGTGAAGCCACCAACAGGTGTTGTGCCTCTAACATACATATGTACGTACATACAAATTTACATATGAGTGGTGTCAAGCAGTGTTACTCAGCTGCCTTATTTCTTCATAATTGAAATGTATATTGACAATTGAAAATAATTCTTATGAAATTTACTCAATTCATTTTTTCGCTCTGCCAGCGCTGCAGCAACTAACTGCGCTTACCTTACGCGCAGGTGTTGCTTACAATGAAAAACGCGCGAGTGGGCAATGCAGTATGCAAATTTAATGTGTATTCACAGGCAGATGTATGTATGTAATTCGTATATGCTTGTGCGTATATTCATATAGCTTTTCCACTGTTTTTGCACTGACAAATTAATCGAAGGTTGGTCTTCATTTGCAAAGTGTCGCGCGTAACAGCTTTCCACCAACACTACCCTTGCGCTGCTTATGACTTCACCACGGTCTCCACCCGCTGTCGTTCACACTTTTTTAGGCGCGTATTTCTGGGACAGTCGCCAAAACGTCGCTCAATTTCAATTTTTACTGTTTTTATGGCACAAAAGCCACACACAACTCACGGCCTGTCAGTTGGTGTCGAAGTAACGCACTAAACGCTACGACATATCGGAAATTAATTTGAATAAAAGTGGAAGAAAAAATGTGAAAATTTTAATTTTCACCATAAAAATTGCATTTTGTTGTCATCGAAATCGTGGTCAACGCTGAGAATTTTTAATTTAGAAATTTCACATTTGTGGAAATTATTGAGAGTGCATAATTTTCCAAGTGACAAGGGTTGAGTGCTTTTTTGTTTGCGTTTGTGTGTGTGTGTGTGGCTTAAAGCGCTTTCTCTGCATACATATTTATATGCCGTGCGCAGTGTTGTTTTGCTACTTGTGTGGTGTAGCTATGTGCTCACATATAAAAAAGAATTTGTTGTTGTTTGAGTTTTTTCTCTCCACGTTTTCCTATTTTTATTTTGATATTATTATTTCATATGCAAAGTGAATATTATCGCGTTTCAAGTTCTTTGAAAAATTAATTATACTCCTGCAAAATAAATATTTATAAAAAATTCTACGTGCGTGAGTTTGTCGCTTAAGTCTTTTGATGCGCCTACAAATTGTTTTTAAGCAGAACGTTACACACAAACGCGCATATACATATATACAATATATATTTTCGTCTACTAAAATTCGTCATAAACACTCGTCGGTCATCAGCCAGCCGGCATCAGCTACTTGAGTACAGCGTGATTTATTGCCTGCTGCCTGCTGCTTGCTGCCTTCTGCCTTCTACCGTTTGTTCTTGCTCTTCTCTCCAACCAAACTCTGCTGGCTTTGACGGTGACACAGTCAAAAGTATGGGCGTGTTGTGGCTCATTGCAAAGTACCTGCCATGTGCTGGGTAATAATGATTTCTTTTATTGTTGATATTTTTTTTCTTTCTACATCTTTATATATTGCCTGTCTCTGCGTAGATATGTAGGTATGTTTGCTTACGGTTTTGTGCTGTAAAAAAAAATGGTTCTTACATTCTTTATGTGTGTTCTACATAAACGTGCTGCGGCACTTGCTTTTGGATTTAAGCAGGTGGGTGGTGGTTTACATTCATTCATGCATGCTTACATACATTTGTATGCATGTGCGTGTGCATGTGTATGTATGTATCAACCCACAAATGTTTGTAAGCAATTATACGCTTCATTTTAACGACATTTTTCGCTTCGAATCGTTTGTTATAGCACTGTTTATTGGGCTTTCGGCCAACTTTCACCGCATTCACAGGTGTTTCAAAGCTTTTTTTTTTGGTATTTTTTAAAGTGATTTTTAATTTTATTGAATACTTAAATGTGGCTAAGTGATTCAGTGTATGACCTGGTTGAATGATGGCTGTAGCATGAGAATTTGTGCTACATTTTTTATGCACCAGAAGAATGATGTTATGGCTAGTTTTAGCTCTAACTGAAAGTATTGAAATTCAAAATTGGTGCAGAGTCTTTATCAAGCTAAATATTTACGTGTATATAGTAGCAAAGAAAAATTTTTGAGGATTCAAATTTGTAACTCTTTTGATTTATTGTCCTATGAAATATGCACTTAAAGAATTTTTTTTTAATATCTGTTGTTTTCACTATAAAAAAAGTAGTTGGCAAAGTAGAGCATATACACAAAATTTAGACGAAATATCCAATTAATAACAATTATGAACTGTCCATCACCAGAACATTCATAAGTTCTTCAAAGAGCCTGTTCCAGACATCCATGCTACCTTCAGTACGCGCTCAAATTTTGTCATACCTAAACCGATTGACGGCTGTGTTTGATTCCTGGTTTCACCACAAATATAGAAAATTAATTTTTCTTATTTCGGTCACCTCTCTGCAGGGAATATCAAGCCCTCCGAGAGTTTTTCTAATAATGAGACAAAGCTATCCTCAAAAAAAAAAAAAAAAAAAAAAAAATCAGTCGAGGTGGCTTAGAATAAATTGTAGGTCCCTCCATTAAAGGAAAACATCAAGATGGATACTACTCTCTGGTACAAACCCAGCGAAGCAGCATGTTTTTTTAGACCTCACGTTAGTTGACCTCTATGTCTTGGACTAACTTTGACTGATCCCAGGTGGTGTTAAGCAAGCTGTTAAAATAGCAACGACAACAAATAAATATTAGAACTGTGACTGTGGTTGAAATTGCTTAAAATTATATGGCGGCATTAATTTTCTTCGGTAAACAAAAATTGCGGTAAACAATTTATGCCACGAAAAACGAGACTTCTTAAGATTTGCTTACTTTGTTATGAGGATGACAAAACAAGCCTTTGCATTTATAGTGAGATTTTTATCGATTAAACAGTAATAAGATAATAAGCTGTAAGTCAAGTCAAGCATTGCTTTCTAAACTCATAATATTCTTTTACAGAAATATATCGATTTCAGCATGACAGAGGGACAAGGAAAAGGAAAAAGTTCAAAAATATTTGTATTTCTGGTATATCAGCGCTTCTTAGAGAGAGAGAGAGAGAAAGAGAGAGAGTATTGTCATGGAATGTCTGAAGAAATATTAAAAAAATATATATTTTTTCAAACCTTTTGATTTCAAAAATATTGTGGAACGAACTGCCATATAAAACAAATCCAAAAAGTTGTGCCACAGAAGAAAACACAAAAAAATATCGGCGCGTAGAAGAAGCTATCGAACATGAGTATTGTTGTTTGAATTCATAATATGCTAGCGCTGTGAATACTATCATATTAAATATCTTTAAATAAACAAATGACACTTCAAACACCCACAAAATATTTCCAAATATTTACACAACGCATGCCTTGAAATATTTTTTCTTTTCATAACATTCTTATTCATGAATATTTATTCAAACACAGCCAAAGGGCTGCAGTCAAAGCCAACTGGTCATTGGAATGCCCGCCGTCACTGCGTGTCGACAGTCAATCATCAAATATTGTCGGCATTCGCTTTGATGATTTCCACAAAAAATACCCACACAGCTGGGCAATGTCGCATTGCGGTGCACTTCCTGGTGCCACAAACCACCAAAAAGGTCTTTCACCTCTGTGAAGCCCAAACAACAATGCAATGCAACTCAACAGAGGCAAACACTCAACACCTTCACAACACACTTCAACAAGTTAAATAAATAAATATTCACATACATTATTATTTATTATTACTTTTGTTTGGGACACTGGTCAGAAAAGGCATGCATGAGAACAAAAAATTTCAAAAAAAAATTTTTTTTTATAATTGAAATTAAAATGAGAAAAAACTTAAAAATCATCTTAAATAAACGCAAGCAAACAATATTACGCAGGTATTCATTAATTTTAGTTTTTGCCCAAATCCTTACTTTAATGCTGAGTTGTTTAAAAAATAAAAATAATGTGAGCAGTGCAGTCTTGAGGAAATTTAAGGGCATTTTGCCAGCTGAAAATCCTTTTATAATTTTTTTTTTTTTTAATTTTTTTGTACAATTAAGTGGTTTTCTCTCTTCGCGCATTTCTTAATTTATTAATCTTCTACCGAAAAGAGCTGTTATTTTTATTCTAAATGTTCCACGCCAGAAGAACTCTACTGCTGAAATTGCTGTGTCATTAAGAATTTTGTTCAGCTGATTTTTTGCTCTTTATTCTCATTCATAAAGCGTTGTTTTTATTATCACATTCAAGCGATTTGGCTTGACCGTAATTTAGCTTAAATTATATTCATTGATTCCTTCTGGGAAATTGAGGTTATTGTTAATAATATCATAATTTTCAATTTGAAATGGAATTCAATTTTTTTAATCTTTTTCTTTTTCTTCTTTTCCTTTTGTTTTTGTAGCATCATGGTGTCAAGGCGTAAAATTCTTTCACGTTCTAGAGATGATCTAAATTTGGATCAGACTTTTAGTCCACAGGAAGAGGAAGAAGATGTCTGGTATCAGAAGGAGAAATTATATAAGGTAAGTGAGCGTTGTTTGGCTGATGAGTTTAAGAGAGGAATGCAAAAGGGGTTAGAATTATTTTCGTAATATTCTAAAGAAAGTTGTCTATCAATTTCATAATGGGTTAGTTACCGCATCTTGGACAAGGGTTGCTCATACTTCCGAGTGTAGAAATTGAGTATTTCTCCGCGATTATAACTGCATACCCAGAAGCTTGACTACATCACACTACACCTCGGGATATGACTGCTTTGATGTAATGTAAAGATTTTCTAGATTAAATATTCTAGGTAGTAGCACGAAAATGATCTAATGATTTTTTTTTAAATTATCGGACAAAAATATCTTCTGTTGTATTGAGAATGCGCTGAGACAGCCACGAGTATACGCCCAGCTCTGTTTATCAAGGTTTGCTAGGTGCTCCGCTAAGAAATCTCTGTGGATTTATTTTTTCGTTTTCAGGGAAATTTTCCTTGTTGTATTTCAAAACCCAAATCCTAGTGAAACATTTTCCACCTAGTGCAGTTAAGGAGGTAGTCTATTTTAGAGGCTTTAAAAAAAGGTACATTTTCTCTTAAATCCATTCTAAGTCTATCCAAAATATGCCTTCAAAATTTCGGTGGCCATTTCGACTTATATTATATGCTAAAGCAGTTTTAGTGGCCGAACTTTGATGAGCGTTTTTTCGAGCTTTCACTTTTACAAGTCTTAGAATAGACTTAGAAATTAAAGCAGGTGATTGCAAAAACAATATTTGTTCTCCGATCGAAAACTGTCATGGTGATCGAGCTTCAGTAATAAATTCTCTTCTATTTATAATTTAAACTATTTAAAATATTTTTAAAGTGAAATTTTTTTTACCAGATTTAAAAAAAATTTGGAGTTTCCCAAATTTTTATTTTTATAAGAGACATATGAGTGTTAAAAAAAAGCAAAATTAAAATTTAATCGATTGTATCAGATGCATCGCACGACCTCCATCAACGGTGCCCGTGCAGCGCAGCGCTTCACAAACCTCATCATAAAATTGAAAAATGACAATATTTTTGTATGCTCAAAATTGTTTTTTGAAGTTTAAATATCATAAAAATTTCGTTTATCACAACGATTTCCTTCTCAAAAAAAAAAAAAAAAAATAAAGAAAATGCTGAAAAAATGCCTTTTTCGCATTCTAAGACGGATTCTAAAGACGTCCAAATGCTGCAAACAACGCCGAATCAAAAATTCACGATCAGCATTAAAACGGGTGGATTTTCTTTTCGTACTCTACATATACATATGTGTTGTTGGTTTGATGTTCAGTAGTGTTCGATTATATTTGGTTTGAATTTAATAACAAAATATTGTGAATATCCACCACTGAATGTCGTCCATAGTGACCATGAAATAGAAGCGCACTTTGCACTTTCTCAACTGATCATATATTATATAATATTTTGATAATAAAATACCATAATTTGCAATCTTCTTCGTTTGCAGGTTTTTTCAGCGTTAAATTAAAGGTCTAACTGGTCATTATTGACAGTCAACCCTGGCACGCAGCCCGTGTGAGCTGTGGAAACTTGAGTTGTCAAAAAAAAAGTTGCTAAAAAGTTGGCCATCATATTGTGTGCTCTATTTTTTTTTTAATTTTTTAGAAAATACTTATAGTTTAAAAAAAGTCCGGACTGTTTGTGATATTAAAGATAGAAGGCTCCAGAGATTTAAAAAATAAATTTTTTGAATTTTTTCAAAAACACAATTGTACTTTTAGCAAACTAAATGAAAGTTTTTATCAAACCATGTAAATGAATAAAATGAATGTGAAAGAATATAGAGAAGATAAAGATGATACATACACATTTTTCGTATATATGATTATCATATATTTTGCAAGAAAATCCAAAATTTTTATTTAGCAGTAATTAACAGAGAAAAACGCAGTCTACTACTTTTGAGTTATGTCTTGAGCCTTACAGATAATTGCCAAAAATTTCTTTTAATAAATATTCAAATTGAAAGTCGCATCAGTTTCACCTCCACTTTTCTAGTCGAAATCTTTGCTGTTATCTTTGGAAACAATTTGTTAAGCAAAAGTAGTATTAAAAAAAATTATAAAAGAAATTTCTCTCGTCTGCCTAGTAAGCTGTATTTATTTCAATTTCCATTATTTTTTTTTATAATATTTTCATTACCCACTATTTTTTCATCTTCTCTTTTCATTTTTGTTTCATTTTTTTTTTCGTTTTTTAACCAAATCCGCGTTTTGCATCGTTGATCAAAACCATTTAAGTGAGATTAATTGTATCGGCTTAACATTTTATTACACGCAATTAAAGCAAACAATGAGCGTAAGTAGACAGTAGAAAAGAGAAATGTGAGGAAATGAGAGGCATCAAATAAAGGGGAAAGAATACGAAATAAAAAAACTTAGAAAAAAACAGCAAAAATAAAAGAAAAATATAAAAGTAAAAATTTGCAGAAAGGAAATGCAGCAAAAATATAGAAGAGAAATATAAAACAAATATAAGAAATAAACAAAAAAAAAAAATAAATAAATACTAGATATTAAAAAAAAAAATTGAGCAAAACAAAATTTAAAAAAAATTTAAGCTTTAAATTAAAAATAGGAAAAAAAAAATAAAAAAAATTAACAAAAAAAAAAATAAATAAATTTTAAAAATCATCATCAAATCGCACGCTTACAAGCAAATTTTAAACAGCAACAGCTGGCTGGCGCGAAAGAGTGAATTGCAAAAAGAAAGTTATCACAAAAACCATAAATACAAAGCGACTAAAATAAACTTGATTTTTTTTACAATTAATTTTATTACAAAAACAAAAAAATAAATAATAATATAAAACATTTTAAACCAGCTGCTAGTTAGGCGTAGTAACTGAGAAACTAGCCGAGTGCGAAAAAAAAATTACACTCAACAAAAAGCAGCAGACAATTTGAGTGGAAGCAGCAGAAGAAGAGCACATCGGATGAGTGAAATGAATGGGTTGATTAGAATCGATTGAGTGAGACAAAGTGCTTGCGCTGAAGCTTTGTGAATTACATACATATAGGCAACCGATCAGCTGAGTAACGGACTTCCCAAACGAGTTACTCTACGAGCTTTGGCAATAAATTAGCGCGCATGAGCACGACGCGTCTTTGAACGCTGCAGCGTGGTGGTGACCAAAGTGAAATTACATAAGAAATGATTGTTGAAGTTGCACGGCAAATGCTCTTTACACTGCTCTCACTGCGCATATGTTGAACACATACACATACACACACACACACACGCGAATATACAAACTATAAACTTCCCCAACAATAATTTACGTGTTTTTTTTTCTGCTGGAGGCAAAGCACGTTCGCATGCGAAATATACGCTATTATAATAAATATAAATGCAGACGTGCATGCATAAACATGCATACATATATAATATATACAAAAACAATGTTGATGTTGATGATGTTGATGATGGTGATTGCTGTGATAATATATGTTTAAAAGACAATATTTATTGACAGGTGAAATGATGACATGCGTTGCTTATACAAATGTGAGCACACACAGCGAAACATATGTATGCACACACGTAAATGCATATACAAGTACATACAACCATATAGCGCACTCCTAAGCGGTAGTTAATATCAGCGATATTTCCACGTTCGTTTGCTTTTGGTTTTGCTTCAAATTTAATTTTTTAATTTTTACTTCTTTTCTTTGTTAACATTTTTCTATCTTCAATTCTCTTTTGCCTATTTGCCTGTTTGCCAATTTACCAACAAACGTCGTATGTGTGAAATTTGCAGCTAACTGTTCGCTGGCTTGTTTGCTTGCGAACCCTAATAAATGCCAAATTAAAGCGTGATAATTTCAGTTTGAAAATGCGAAAATATACACGAATTAGTAATAACGATAAAAAGCGAACACACACACACACACACATATGGGCGCATGTATGAAGTTTTAGATTATTGCATTTAATGTTTTGCTAAAAAATTGTACGTTTGTGCAAATACCTTTAGATAAATAAACAAATAAATTGTCGGTTTTTGCATTTTTACATGTTTTTTGGCTTGAAATTTCGTGTATACATACATATATATTTGTGTTTATTTACTTATCTCTATTTCAATTAAATTTAATTATTTATTTTGTTATTTTTGTTTATTTTCTAGTTTTATGCACTGCATTTTTTGTATCGCGGAAGTGATGTTTTATTTATCTGTCGCATTTAGTTTTATGAGCTCTTAAGTTTAATTGTCGCTGCAGTGAAATTATAATAATAAAAAAATAAATAATAAAAAATAAATAATTAAAAATAAAATAATAAAAAATAAATAATACAAAATAATAATAATAATTAAAAATAAATATTTTTTGACAGATTTTACAACAATAAATATTTTTTCATTGTTAAAGAAGATTTTTGCAAGAATTTGTGTGATTAAAGTATCACTTGATCGACTACACGAGGTGTGACAATTAAGCAATGAGACTGATTATATTGCCGGGATTGTGGTAACTCTACGACCTTGAAATTCCCTTTCCTTTCTCCCGACATCGTTTTCCTCTTCAGTGAAATATTTGCAATCGCTCTAGCTTTTTCAGTTTGCCTGCTGTGTAGTGTTGAGTAAACGTGTATGTGTGCTGCTCGTCACGAAAATGGAAAATTATTGTGATTATTGCCTTTTTTGATAGCCGTGGAATCGTTCACAAAGGATATCTTCCACCGGAGCAAACCGTAAATCAAGTCCACTATCGCCAAGTAATCGAAATATTGCGAAAACGAGTAAACAGGGTGTGACTAGAGATCGCTTGTAACTGCATCCTTCATCACGACAACGTGCCGTGCCACACCGCCCTCAGCTTGTCCCAGTATTTGGCCTCTAAAGGGTTCACCGTGTTGCAGCAACCGCTTTATTCGCCCGATATCGCCCTCTGACTTTTTTTTGAACCCTAGAACAAAATTGGTGGTCAAAGGAACGCTTTTTGAGTAGATTGAGGACATCCAGGCGGCCGTGACGAGCAT